AATATTATTGGATATTTTTTGAAAGCCGTTTTTTACTCGACATCACTGCGTATACCGAAATGTGTCATTTTTCTCGCCTCCCACTCGTCCTCCCTGACAACGCCAAGTAACGRGCTATACCGAAGACATCGCGAAAAAATTGTTTTCCACGACAACATTATACATTATTGCATCGAAAACGAATATCGACAGCTAAATATATATTTTATAAGATTTGTTTGAACGGTTTGTGAACACATATTTTTTTTTTTAGGTTTTTAACAACACGTMATAATAAGTCTTTTATGGGTATTTATATATATATGCAATTTGAAGTACGGAATAAAATATATAGATGTTGTAATCTAGTTTTCAAAAGTGTATGAAACTTTTGAAAAATTGTGAAAGACGTGTGCGTCAAAGAATGTGTAAAAAGTGTAGCTTTTTTTTATATTTTTTATTCTTCGATCGACCAGAATAAAACTTTACTACACGTACGGTGTTAAGGATTTTTTAATTACGCATAAAGTGTATTCGGAATTATTTTCAGCGCAAATTCTACTTGAAAAATTATAATAAATTTAATCCTACAGACAGTTTACAAAATTTAATCAGTTCGAGACGCCATCTAAAGAATTCTTAAATAAAATAAACGTTTCGCAGAMGTACGTATTGTTTTTGCGGTATATTGTACGTATTTATATACGATACAGTCGCGTACAGAGGAAGCGCGAGCTATTATAGAAACACTTTACCATAAAAACAATAGTGTGGTTTTTTCTTTCTTTTAGAACTTTGAATTAAAAAAAAAAAAAAAACCGACTTGATTTAAAAAGAGAGTTTGTATATATATTATGTAGCCACTATATTAATTGTTATTGGTCGTTTTTAATAATATCCATTGAAAATGGTTTCTTTCAAACGGGGTTTTATCGTTGTTATTATCATTATTTTTTTTTTTTATGAAATGAAAAGAGTCAATCTCTACACAACGGGTTTACGTGCTCTGACACATTGAAACGATGAATTTTAAATTGCGTTAGGATTTTTTTGTCACGTATTTGACATTTTCTAAACCGTGCTATACCATACCTTACTATATACTTGATACCATAGTCATATGCTCGAAATGGTGTTTTTACGCTGACATTATTCATCGAATGTTTTTATTTCGATCGTCGATATTCATTATTAAAAATTTGTCCAACATTATCCAATAACGTTAAAATACTTTGAATACAAATGAAAAATTGGTATTATTCAAATGTATAGATAATTAGGTACCAAATAAAAACTTAAACATTTTATATTT